TTTTCACAACCTCACGGGAGAATTTCTATCCAACTACATCTTTCTCTAACAATGTGTCAGTCACACCAAAAGCAATATATTATTAGGGATGCACCGAATTTACGGCCACTGAAGACTTTTATCGCCGACACAACACGGCTAAAACAGGAAGTTATGATGACGCAAGCAAAAACCCGCGGCCAGCGGGGCTTGTCTGAATGTCTGCAGTGTGGACGTATTTCAATATATGTGATTTATGAAAGAACAGTGCCTTGAAAGTATGAGGTTTAGTACACAGTCATAGACATAAATGCAATGGTGCTAATAATTGGCATAATAATTTCTTATTATGTTTTTATTATTTCTGTTCATCCCTAATAATTATTACATAATACATTACATATATATATACATTCCTTTTTTTTAATTATTAAGTTTCTCTTCCATATTCTCTTCCAGAAATGTCTTCAAGTTGTCTCCATTTAAACTTTGCAAAAATGCCTCTATTATTTTATTTTTTTTAGTAAGTGCTACTTACTGGAAGGTTTACCAAAATGCCAACAAAATGTCTTAGGATTATTGTGCTACTGCCTTTGCATTTTGCAGAAATGCCCTTCTTCTTAGATATATCTTTATTTTCAAACTCAATTATTTTTTTTGATATTAGGTTATTAGGTTTTGTATTTTTGTGTCATATTTAAATGTATTTAGTTGAGACTTTTACAAACCATCTTTATTGTCCTTGATATTCAAGCAAGTAGACTTATGGCATCATTCATTTATATTGCTACTGCAATCACAAATCGCAATATTGTCCACAATAAATTGCAACTAAACATTGTCATAAAATCGTGCAGTACTAGATCCTACCTTGCGATATAACTCAGTTTTTACCATGGGTCAGAACTCACAAACTGTACATACGTGCCTATATCACTCACCTATGCTAATACATTGGTAACATCATTATCTAGACATAAAAATATCTCTTCCACACACAGTGTTGGATGGCGATGTGTTTGTCCGCTCCCCTCGCCAATTAGTTCCTATGTGGATTCGCTGGCGAATTTTAACGCTGCATGTCGGAATCACGGAGCAACACCTTCTTAACTGAGGACTGCCTATAATCATATTTTCCCAATATGATACATTTTCAATGGCTAATGCATTTCTAGGAGTGTTGGTCATTAGACGTCTTAATGTCACAAAGCCACACATGGAGGTATAATTATAAAAATATATTTAACTAAAACACACACAAAAAAATGTGTGCGATATCTGTTGATGTTTTTCAAATATAAACATCATGTCCGTTGGAGACCTAAATAAGTGATTAAGTAAAACGAATGCTCTAATAGACCTTGAAACAATAGTGAAACGGCTTTAGACACAGTTCATTATTCCTTGATTTTGTGCTCTGTTGGTCCTTTATGTCTCTGGGGAGTAACCATTGTTTTTTAAGTCACATTTATTGCAAACTGCACATTGTTTTGGCATAGAAGGCCCAGGCCTTAGATTTCGTATGGAAATGCAGAGAGTAATTACACTCAAGTAATTAAACACGGATTAGGCAATGGTGGAAATGAGCGGTTTGTAAGCTGTTTTTAACACACAGTGTGCTGCTCTACAAGCTGTTAAAATGAGACCCAAAAGGTAACTGCTACTAGGAATTATATTTAAAATCCATCCACCATATGTGCCCACTTGGAAATAATGAATTTCAATGTAATAGGGATCCTAAAGAAACACTAATGGAAATAAAAAAAATACCCCCCCAACCTTTTCAACCGTTACTTATCTCCAACTGGGGGAAACGTCTCACAGCTTCTAAACATTTCTCGCTTTCAGCTGCATTAAGACCATTTTTCTCGCTCATTCTGAGAGGCATCCCATCTTCCCAGTGGGAGTAGTGCGTAGTGAACAGCACTGTGCCAATTGTACAGAGGGGAGGGTGGGGTGTGGGGGGTCCTCACAAGCTTGAAGACTCATTTGGGACATGAATGGGCATTTTATGACACTTCAATTCTGTCCATTGCCTGTGGGCTCAGTGTTGTTCATTGTACAGTGTCAGGGAGGAAAGAGGTGAATGGAGGAATGGAGAGTCGCTGAGGAGCTGCTGGTTGTTTAGATGAAATGGAGACGAGCGCTCTTGAAGGAGTGTGATGCTGAATGTGCAGAGCAGCGTGGAACAGAGCAGCAGTTAGCCTACAAGGGCACCCATAGGGGTGATGGAGGGCTTCAACTTTAACTATGTGGGCTCTGCTCTTGTCATTTAAGACCATGGACGGGCTCTGTGAGCTCATGAATTTGACCAAGCCCTCACTGTCGCTGAGGCAAATGCACTTTTTAGAGTAAGTCAAATAAAAGTAGTGACAATGATAGATGACACGGCCGTGCACTCAGACAGTGGGGGGACCTTTGTCATAAATAACAATGACACTCAGCGCAAGGTGATAATATCCAAGTGAATCCACTGGAAGATATATTGTGGATTATACACTGGGGATGTTTCTTACTCTGTGCAAATATATGAAATCAGATACAGTTAAGTAGGTAAGAATAATGATCCCAGTTGGCAAAAAGGAGCAGGGTGAGTAATGTTCTGGCATTTCCAGCAAGGTTATATTGTGGGGAATTCTGCGGGTCTGGAATGTTAGGCAGCGCAGCTGCAAGAACTGAAATAATGTAGAGCACATAATTAATTTTTTTTTTTCTGATGCAGTGTAGAAAGGGTAAGTCAGAAACTTCTCGGACAGCTGGATAGAAAAAAAAATAATCAGAGAAACATCAAATGTATTTCTAGACACTAGTTCTATTAGACAATATATTCTTTGTAGTTTCATATAATATATATTGTTGGCATATATAATGTGTGCATCTCAACACTTAAAAAGATATAAAAGCTAAACCTTGCTCACAGGTTACATTATTTTAAAGTTTTATTAATGATCTTATAATAAATTATTTTAAAGTTTTATTAATGATCTTAGGGTGATTTACAATGTAATGCTGTTACAGGAGAACAACAACTTTGATATAAGGTTTTCTTCATTTTCGAAATTGTTATCTGCCTTTAGTATATTATATTGTCAAACCAAATTTAAATATCTGTTATTTTGTCTTTTTCATCAGTAAAACTCACTTTGTGCAGGGTGGACATGAAAACGAAAAACAATTTACCTTTTTGTTTCCTTTTGAGTTGTGTCGCAGAATGAGCGTTAAAGAAGAAAAATGAAGAAAATGAAAATGCAGTTTGGATGATGGTTATTCATTTTAGTTTTGAGGTGATGGTACATTCTGAAAAATTAAAAAGTATTTCATTCGTAACTTAAAATTAAATCTTAAAAGTCCTTTTCT